ATGGCACATGGAGAGCGATCAACTAATAATAGTAATGTGACAGTGCTGGTGGAGCGGGGAGGAATCTCCCCAGTGCCAGACTGCGAGAGGCAGAGCGCGGTGGCTCAAAGCAGCGCCTTTCTCTGGGAACTTTACAAAGCGGTGGCAGAACGTTATTTTATTACATCTGAATACGTTCCTTTTCCTGCTTAAAGATGACTTGTTTCCTACACGTTCAACTGCAAGGTCTCCAGTGCAGAACTTTCTTCTTCCTATCTCTCTAGTGTTGTGTCTGTCACACTGGAGCCCGACTTTCAGCTGGATTATAAACACTAGGACAATAACCACATGACTTTAGGCTGTGCAGATCTCAACAACGGCCATCGAAGACAAAACGTGTTTGGCTTTTGAAGGACAGCACATGAACTTTCCCCCAATTTAAACTGCACAGCCCAAAAGCTGTTGCCATTCAATATTTTTTTCATTTATATAATATATTTTGTAATAGTTGCTTTTTGTTGGTTTCAGGCAGCGAATTCCAATTTCAAGGTGACTAACTGGTATCAAAACACCTGCCCTATGAAATAATTTTGCAACAGATTTCAAGAATCGTGCGAATTCAAGTTTTAGATACAGTTATATGAGCAACAGTTGTTTCACTGAAATATTTTATTTCATATACACAGCTGCACTTCATTAGGCAATAGAAAGGTCACAAATGATCTTACTCTGACACTTGGTTTGACACGTCCAGTTTGATAGAAACCAAAGACTACAAAAGAAATGTATAATAATCATTAAGAACACATTAAAAGTGAGATTATTATTACAACTAAATTACAAATGATATAAATATTTGATTCTTGTATAATCCCTACACATTCAACATTTCTGACTTTAGGAGCACAGTTATGGCAGAAGAGGATGGCTTTGAAATTTAGCTTGTTCTTATTAGCATGGAAAGTGGCATTCAAAACTACCCAAATTTAGAGATTCTGAACGAAATTCTGATTTTGAAGTCGCTAGAGTAGAACTGCATCATCCTGTCCCTGCTGTGCTGCAGCTCTGGCACTTGTGTTTTCAGAGATGCTGCACTTCTGAAATTCTCAGGCCACATGGCTGGTTATCAGCAGATACTCTGGACACACCTGCTAGCTCAGGTGAAGCTTTTAACAGAACTGACTCCAGTTCTATGTTACAAGGAGACCTTCATCTCCCATTTGAAGTTAGAAAGGACAGAATAGAAGAATGTTTTTTTGTCCTAAAAGAGCCAAAGGGGATCAAAAGCCTACCCACATGTACATTTCCCTCTTCCTCTTTCTTTTTCTCCCTTTCCTTGCTCTTCATTTTTGAACTGCTTCTGAATCAAACATTTGTTGGTATCTTAAAACAACCAGAACTTGTGTTTCTAATTTTGGGAAAGACATCAGTTCAACTTCCAACCCCATTCTGTGGACTTCCGAGAGCTCCACGAGCATGTGGAAGTGCTCCTGTTTTAAGTCAGATATTATCAAGTTCTTCCTCATTTTCTAAATATTTTGGTGTTTTTTTAGATCCTTCTCATTCTTCTATTTAAAAAAAATCCTTTCATTTTTGACAGAAGACCAACTTTTAAAGTATCTGGAAACATTTATAACCTCCTGTGCAATGCTGCTGCACTTTGTTCAAAAGCTTTTTGTAAAAACCATGAAAATCTCAATATACATTTACTTCTGTGAAAAAGTGCATTTCTGTTTCTCTGAGATGTATGTTAAGGTGTAATTTTCTTCCTATCAGTTTATTAGACCAGAGAGACAGTTTCCTTTGCTACCTACAGCTAGTGCATTTGCTGTGGAATATGCCACTTACTCTGCTACTATTTCCAGCTATTCCTATTGATTATGAGCCCAACAAGACACCTTTACTGTTCCACATAATTTCACTCATAGACTTGCAATAAGCTGCCAAAACACAGATAGCTTAAACATACTTATCTGCTCAAAAGCTGAGATAGGTGAAGAAAACTTCACATGCCCACAATGAAGACATTGCAGAGAAAAGAAAAAATCCAGCACGGAGCACAGTGCCAAGCTCAGCAACTTGAACAGTGGAAACAGGCCAAGAGCAGCATTTGGAATTTCTCTTTTATTACACATAGAAGTATACTTTTTTCTTTGTTAAATAAATTATAATCAGTTGGCATTTCACACAAGTCATATGACACATTTTCATCATTTTTGTACTTATCAAATGAGTACAACAAAGGAGCAAAATGTTGGCTTCGGTAAAATCTATGAATTACACAGGCCCTCCTCTTGGCTATTGTCATTTTGGGTTGTGTTTGCAACAAAAGGTGACATTTTTCTAGTCAAGGATTGTTTTGATATCTTAGATTTTTAACAACATGCTTCTCAAATATCTGAATATTTGGAATTGCTCTGTAATTACTTACTCTGTATTTCTTGACACAGGACAGATTCTTGTGGGCTGGCTCTGTGTGGCAAAGCATATGTAAGTGTAGTTTAAGAGCCTAAACTAATTATGAAGCATTGCTTCAGTTTACAGAAATTCAAAGATTATACCTCATCATTATTTATTACCCCCAGAACAGGAAAAAACATTACTGTGAGTTCCCTCAGGCTTTCTGACTGTGCTGCCTGAAGTTCAGGGTTCCACAGCCTGAGCCACAGTTTCACACTGCACACAGATGGCCACAACTGCTTGAATTTCTTAAATAGACACCTGACTTCCCACAGAGAAGGGAGGAAGACTGAAGTGCTTTAAATTATAAAACACTGCCTTCAATTCTGTTTCATGATTAACAAATCTTACCATACATACTTATTTAAAAATATATTTTGAAATGCTACATATGAACTGAGAATGCTATTGGTTAATTTACCACCACATAGAGTAGTAACAGTTTTAGAACAAGGAAAGGTTTTAAAATTAATTGGTGAAGCTAGCATAGCTTTTAAAATATAAATAAGTATTTTTAAACACCTTAATGATGTTTAGATATTTTAAAACAAAATAAAGTAAAAAAATGCATACTGGCAGTCATTCCTGCCCCAACAGTGCTTGCATTTCCTGCACTGCTCCCTTGCACTGCAGTACAGAATGGCTGCTTACACCCACACAAATGTAATCCCAGGGCAGGGGCAACATGTTCAGTTTTGTGAGTGTGATTCCTTTATTGCATGTGTCACATGAATCAGAGACTGCAGGCAAAACACCTTCCAGACACCTAATGATGAGACTCTGCAATGAACACTTTGTACTGTAAGCCTTTAAATGGGAACAACTCCATCAGCTTCACTCACAAATCATCTGTGCAAAAGTACAGTATTTCATAAATAAACTTTACCCAAATATTACAGAAAAAAGCTTTGGGATACATGAAGTATAAATACAGCGACAGCTGGGCTGCAAAATTAATTCAGGTATATACAGTAACACACTCCCCATTTCTTTTCATAGGTGTACATTTAACCTCCCTGAGTCCTTTTCCACACTTGAGTGACGTGATGCATTTCCAGTTGCTTGCTCACTGAGAGCCATGGTGTAGCTTCAGCATTAGAGAAAAAAGGTGGGAAGGAGCACCCCAATGTGCACTCCCTGGCATTTGTCATGGATTTTCAGGGCTTACTGGACTTTTGCTTCCAAGAGCCCGCTGGGCACGACGTGCCCATGAGAGCTCACACAGGCCCCCACGTGTCTCAGGGAATCTGCTCCCAGGTAAGCCATGAGCAGCTCCGTGTGTCGGATCAGCAGCTGGGTGAGATCCTCAGCCAGGCTCTCCATGCTGGAGTACCTCACCTTTTCAAAATCAAAAATGTCTTTGAGGAAGAAAAGCACTTGATCCTAGCCAGGGGAAAAAAATAAAGAGAAAAACTCGTATTCACTTACTAGCAGCTATTTCTTTTACATGTTTCCTACAAGCATCCATTTTGCTGCTGAGACAGAAGTGTGCTAAAACAGACTGCAAAACAGTTCTAAGCTTAAAACATTTAATAATGTTTTTAAAATATTTTAAAATATTTAGTTTTCATGCTTTCTTACTGTTAGCCCTAATCTTAGGAAAATGGAAATGTTTATACTTATAAATAAAATATTAATTTATTTTAATCAGGAAGATATTTTTTTTCATTTAGATAAGTGGTAATTAAAAAAAAAAAGTTGCAAACCTTGAAGAAGCAGCATAAGTCATAAAGGGAATTTCTAGGGCCCAAAAAGCCCCATGCCAAAACAGGGCTGATATGTTCACATATAGCATAGAAATGTGCAAAAAATCCATCAGGCACCTAAGTGATGGAAAATTGGAGACAGAAGTTACACAGTAAGTTTAGTATAAATTTCCATTATTTAACATTAAGTCTTCATAAAAGCCTAACACACTTACTACAGCAGGGCTGTGGTAACCTGAACAGAATTACTGTCAACACTGCTGACTGGACCCAAACTGGGTTGAAAAATCTTTCAGTTTTTGCTAAAAAACAGGTGTTAGGGCCCCATGAGCTAAATTTCCACAATTGGAAGCCTCTTGTCTGAACTTCAAATTCTTAGGAGCCGATCAATAACTTTGTTCCACATAATTTTGAAGGGCAACTTACCTTCATTTGCTGTCTTTTCTGCTTCAATACTGACCAACAGCTTGAAGCTACAGCCTAATTGTTAAAAGAAAAAAAAGCAAGTCCAAGTCATTTTTCATCTCAAAAGAACTTACCTGCAGAATACTGTATTTCTATATTTTGGGGACATGTATTGTTTGCAGTTTCAACCTTGTGATAGCAAAAAGTTTAAAACTACAAAACAGCAGCTGATACAAATAACCACATTTATATGTAGTTCATACGTGTCATTTCAGATCTATCCTTGCAACATTTTCTTCAGTTTAATTCAAATGTAATTTGGCATCCCTGACTGATTTTACAGTTACAACAGTTAGCAATTCTCTCTGGGTTTAACTGAGGACCAGCCTCTTATATACTAAAGCATGTGCTCAGACATAAGTAACTATTTTAGATATTATGTGGAATGTGAACACATTAAAATGTCCTTTTTCATTTTAGCAAAAACATTCTTGCAATAGCTTCAGATTCAGTTAAGGAGTTTTGTCCAAATATGGACCTGTGAAATACAATATACTGATATCAGTACTGGGCTTTTTTCCCCTCAGAGCTTGTTCCTATCCTCATCTGACTCTCCTTCAGTGCTGCAGGAGAATTAACTATTCACAGAGCCAGTGTTACCCCAGAATTACAGAAATACATGCATGGCACTTTTCTCTCTAGAGGGAATGTTTCAGTTGAAAGACAAAAACAAAAGGCAAACTGGCATTTTACAGACAAAAATGGACGAAACGACAGCAGTATCTGTACCAGTTGACCATGGCGGAAGCCTGTGTCCCTAACAGATCTATCTGACAAATAAACAGGCCCAGATGAGAAATCATGAATTGCAATCAACATTTGAATGCCTGCACTGTGTTAGTTTACTTTTGTTTCCTTGCAGCTTTGTGCCTTGTTGCTAAATCTCTGGTCTCTGAACCAGAACCTGGATCTAATACCTCAGACGTGGCTAAGTGAAACCTCCCCTCTAAAATTCTACTTCCTCAGAGGAAACTAATTTTTGCAGGACAAGCTGAAGTATTTTCTCTGATACATTCAACCATTCTGTATGTTTTGGGCCCAGACTTGTAGCTTTTCAACTGCTGTTATGATAAAATACAATCTGTTTAATTCTTTTGAGGAATATTTCAGGTACACACTCAGTTATACTGGAAGCTAAACTGGACTTTACACAGCCTTTATCCTGCAGTTGTTGCATTTACTCTTGTTTTTAGATTGTACTTTAAGGATACAAAGCACAGAGCACCAGAACACTTTCAGCAGACACAGAAATTTCTATCAGAATGCTCACAACACACTTATATTGATCACACCATCCACATACTGCAGATTAATTGGTATGAACATTACACAAGAATACTCACTGTTTCTTTGAAAGAGGAATTTAACCAGCGGTTATTGACTACATTCTGTATAGAGATAGGTGGATTTTCTAAATCTTCAAATGAATCCATTAATATGAAGTCCAGAACAACATCATAAAAATTCAGATTTTTCACCTGTATTAAAGGAAAAGATGGCCTAAGTAACCTAGTTTCTCTTTCAGCAGTGGAATTCAGCATGCACCACATTCAAATGCATTAAACATACTATGGAGAAGTTAAAAAAAAAAGTACTTTCTGGTGCTGGTGGATGCCAATTCTCTAAATCAGCAATACAAACAAAAAAAGAGTTGCCTTTCCCACAATTCTGAATTGTAAAATTTTATTTTTAGATCCTATGGCTCAATAGGATCCTTTAGATCCTATTAAGGGTAAAAGCACTTTTCAGAAATTCAGACTCACTCCTCTAGCAGCAAGTTCCATTTCAGTATTATCCCAGTGGTCTGTTTGTTCCAAAAAATATATCATTTCATCAAAGACATCTTCAAATTTCTTTGGATTCTGTAAAGTAAAAGCAACGAGTATCAAGCAAACTCAACAAGAGATGTGGTTTATTTGCAGTGGAAAGTGAATTCTGGCAGGAGTCACATAAACAATAAAACATTAGTTAAAAAAAGCCTTTTACCTTTCGTGCTTTCACAATTAAAGCAGACAAAATTTTTCTTCCACTTTCAGCAAGAAATATTCTGTTTGCTGTTTCTGAAAGAATTACCTAGAAAAGGGTTCAGAAAATACAGACATGTTCATGCACAGGTTATACTAAAGTGACCTTAAACACTCCAATCACATTTCAGACAATTATAACCCCTGGTATGGTGGACCAGCTCCTAATAAGCCTTTGGTGCAAAGGTTCCAAAGCTAATCATAAAACTGGGACTCCTCTGCAAATTCATCTCGTCTCAGAACTATGGAAATGTAAAGGCAACAAGAAAATATTTAACTCCAGAACAAGTTATAAAAATGCTGGCCCAGAGAGTGCTTTCAATGCCATGTCCTTTAGTTTAGGCTTAAGGAGACAGACAAATCACCCTCCTCACTGCTTACCTGAAAAGCTTGTCGAATACAGTGCAGCTTAGCAAGGAAGTCACTGTCTCCTAGACATTCAAACATTTCAGTCCTACACAAAACAGAAAAGTTTTCAAAGACCATTAGGAAAAGAAGCACCAGAACAGTCACATCAGTCTAACTCTTAGAAAAAATACCTAGTGCAATTAACTCCTAAAAAAATGGAAAAAAAATGGTTTCTAGGTAGAATATTTAATTTTAAGTTTTGCTTTTCTGGAAAATAGTTAAACAGACATAAATCAGTACCTTAACACTCGTGAATATATTTTGCCTTCTTCTGCCAAGTGCATGGCTTCTTCATACAAGGGGCAGTGGCAAAGGGAGTCCAGCCCGTACGTGTTACGGATCTCCCTGTGCTCTGTAAGCTGACAGAGAAATCGTTTGGAAGTTCATTAAAGAGCTTGACAACGTATTTTTTGGAAAGATAAAAACAAATTCAAGAATTTTCCTGATACTCTACTGATAGATGCATCCTTTTCTGCATCTGCTTAAAAGAAAGGGGCAACACTCAACTGGTACACAGAATAAATACACCACACCTCGCAAGACCTACTTCGTAACTCTTAGAATCTCAAAGCTACAGTTTCAAGTTTCAAAACTCATGGAGGCAGCTTAATTTTATATTTAATTTGCCTAGGTAAGTTCTTAAACTGTCTGGTTAAATCTAATGGGTCTTCAAGCTGTTAAAAGAAAATAATTGCCAGGTCACAAAGTACAGAATGATTGCATCATGCAGATCTTTAGGAAACCAGAAATAGTAACATCCTCCCACCCCTGTTTTTGTTTCGCTGGGAATTATGTCTGCTAGTTACCAAAGCACATGGTATGAAGCATGAGCACTCAGAATTTCATATGACAGGCTCCCAAAAAGGTCTTCATTGTTGGCAGTTTTAATTCTGTGATTATTGTACAAATTAAGGTGAACTCACAGACATTTTTAAAGCAAGAAAAAAACCCAAAATCAGATTAATAAATCAAAGCACATAAATAACAGAGAACTCCTGTTTACAGGGTATCATATTTAATCAACAAAACAATGGCTAGCTACAATTTCCACTATAAACATTATATCATATTATTAATAATCAAAAGAAAAAAGCTTTTATTTTTTTAATTATATATATATATATTTAATTATCTTTTCTTTTCTTTAATATCCTGTATGGGGCAAACAAACTTGTGTTTCTAGGCTATAAAAACATAGCCTGGAAACATCTTTAAAAAGTAACTGTCAAAGTAATCGAACTATATAAAAAGTTACCCCATATTTGAGAACGATTTAAACAAATCAGATTAAAGTAGAACTTTGTATCAAACCTCCATTAAAATTTTCAAATAAATACATGCTGCAAAGTTCTTCCTGTCAGCGAGGACACCCAGCCAAGTGCTGGTGAGATGATCCCAGTGTGCCTTCTCCACACACTGCAGCAACAGTTTGGCCAAGTTGGCTTTCCTGCTGCAGGGAAAGTGCCAGTACCTGCTTTTGTCCATCTAAACATTTAAGGACATGAAAAAAGTCAGAGATTTCAGTGCAGAGCTGGTGTTGTGACAAGTGTCACACACTGTTAGATGGTGTTCATTTGCTGGAACTTACACGTGGGGGTTGAGTCACTCACACCAGTAACCTTTTACTTCTGGCAAATACATACAATTCCTTCCATAAACTGTCAGGTTCCATTTTAAATTGTTTTGTTTGGCTAAAAAAATCCCAATGAGACCAAACCACTCTCTAGTGGACACCTTTTTGCACAGCCAGTGTCATGCTGAAACCCTTCCCACACCTCTGAGGATGACAAGGTGCTCCACCACAGCCAACAGTGCTGGCAGAGGGTTGTGAGGATGGCCCTGACATGCCAGCCCCCAAATGTCTGCTACTTCCTCACTGTCATGGAGAAGAACATGAAAATGCAGACAAAGCAGAGATAAAAAGGTGACTGCAGTTCAGGGCTGGGGGTGTCCACAGGTTTCACTGGGTTGGAAGGGACCCACAAGGATCCAGACTAACTCTTAAGTGAACAGCCCCTACAGGGATCAAAGTCCAAACCTTGGCTTTACTAGCACCATGCTCTAAACTGAGCAAATCTCAGGGTTTTCATGAGCCTAAAGCAGCAGCAACCTCGTCCTGGAAGGCTTGACTTCCATCCCTTCAGGGCTCGAGAGAGACACCGCAGTCAGTGACCACAGCACAGGACATTTCTGGTGACCTGCAGTGGACACCTGACTTCATTCTGCTGAAATAATATGGACACACCTTCCAAACTCCAAAGCCTGTAGTGCTGATTCGTGCCTAAGCTTGTGGTGCTTCCTTGTGTCTCTGAAGGTTACAACATGGATTGTTCACATGCTAATCAGTTTGCTCTGGACACTTCAGCTTCAGGGCTGCATCTGCTAGTGAAGAGATGCTGAAATCGTTGCTGTAAAGCACCAAACCTCTGGAACTTGCTAGAGTTCTTAAGTCTGAGATTCCCTGGAACAGGCTCAGTACCCTCATTTGCTACTCACAAGTTGTTTCTTAATAAATAGGAAAAATTCTCAGCTGTGTACCGAAGCCTTGTTGACTACCAAAATAACCACCTACGTGAATGTAACAAAAATAAACAATGCTAGACCTTTTAGGAATTCTTGCTTGCTCCCCCTAATAAAAAGGTCACTTTACTGTAACAGTCAGCATTCCTTACATTCTGAGAAATGATGCTTCCCCTATATTAAAAAGGCTGATGATGGTCTCCTTAAAGGACAAAGCCATTCAGAGAAAAGATTATTTTTTTTTTTTTAAATAGGTAGTTACAGGATGAGAGCGAAACATGCTTTGGAAGTTGGAAGATGAGATGGTGATTACTAACTAAAACACTTGAGATAGTACTTTAATAAACTGAATTGTGTTGATCTGGAAGATCTGGAGGAAAACAGGAAGGCTGTTACAAAAACAAAAAAAAAGAGTAGCTAAGGCTTTATTCACAAGTCTAAAAAATCTCCCAAGCTTTGGATGGAGTTAACATTTTAACAAGGAAAGCAAAGTTTATTTGATAATAGAACTGCAGATTCAATTCTAGTCAAGATATGAAAATAAGATATGATAAATGCATGTGCACTGACAACAGAGAGGCAGCCCCAAAGCTCAGGGAGAGCAGGAAAGAGCCTCTCTCAGGAAGATGGAAAAGAAGCCAGGAAAGAGAGGGGAGAGGCCTTTACGTGGCACACTCAGGGCTGTGTTCTTGCCAAGGGTAGCAGCTATTTTGATCACAGTAGATGGGAGAGCAAGACTATGAAAAGGATACTAACCTTCCTCAACACAAGCTGATGGCAGACAGGCTCAAACGGGGAAGAAAATACCATTATTTATCACAGGATATAGTATTAATAACTTAATTAGGGAAAATAGTTGTGTTTACCATCCCTTATGCAGTGCTTCTGAGAGCCTGAGGGTGTTTAAGAGCAGAAGTCTGTCTGGGCTTGGGGATGACAACTGTGTCTAAACTGTCTCTGTAAGGATTCAGGCACCTGTGTACTGCGGGTGTCCAGGCAGGCACAACTCCGGGTGAGAAGTCATCAGATTGATTCTCAGCCCCAGCCAAGAGGAAGCTTTGGCACACACTCCTGCCATCCTGCAGAGCTCACCTAAAGGGCACATGACTTAAACTCTGCCAGCTGTCCCACTTTTGTACAGCTCTTTCCTTAAAAACCATCTTCCTAGATTTTGTCCTCGTACAACACAGCACGACACTGTTGTTGCCTCCTAAGCAGTGCCCCCATCACCTTCCATTCAAGCATCTGTGTCTTGGTTTGTGACAGTTATTTCTCCTGAGGGCACTGAGCTAAATTTGGTCTGTGTGTCAGCACTGAAACAGTTTCCAGCCTCTAAAACCAGAGTCCTGCTCCTTGGGACAGGACACAATGTAGGAGGGAGACAAGGAACTGTCAACACACAACTTGCAGCATGATGTGACCACAAAAAATGGTGCCACATTCTGATTTCCTGCAAGGAGAAATTACTAATCCTGGTAGGGCAAAATCACATATGAATTTCAGATTTAAAAGCCTTGCTATACATTTCTATCACAACATGGAGTTTAGGGCAGTTATTAATATTTTAACTGCAGTCAGGGAGCTTATGATGAAAGAACAACTGCCTGTTTGGCCCTTAGCTGATATAAATCTGGAAAAGCCTCAGGCCTCTGAGCCTAAACTAAAACCTTTCACTCTTTTGCTAGTGCAAGAACAAGAAAGTGAAAAAACAGATAAACAAGAAGCTACCTGATATTATCATGTCTAGAATAAAAGAATCTGGTATGTCAATTCTAATCCAGTTACATCAGAGCTGTAACTGTTCTCCACTAAGAGCTGAATACACTGGGAAGTAGTTATTGCTCCTTCTCATTGCCATAATTATTTGCAGTACTAATGTGAGGCATTTTTCCCCCCAAAGGATGGACAAAATGTTAAATCCAGGTAACAGTATATTTGTACAAGAACATCCACAGCTTCCTTCTACCTGCAGCACACAATGATGTCCTGTCCCCACTGCTGGAGTGAACTGACCCTGCAGTTCAAGCCTAGTGGCTCATATTTAATCCAGAACATCAGTGGTGTTTTGACTCAAACACTAAACTGCAAGTTATTCATGCTTTGTTAGTCTTCAGGACTTCTGGCAGCTGAGAATTTCACTAGATTCTTCCATAAAATCTGAAAAAGGAGAGTTTGTTCTATTGGCAAAGGACAGAACAGCTGGAAAGGAAGAGAAAACCTTCCTAACTTTGTCCTGGAGGAAAGAGTTGACAGAAGTGGCTCTGAGGTATCAGAATGTGGAGAATATTTTCAGGATAGGTAAAGACAATTACACTGCCAATTTTAACTTAAACATTTCCTTAGCACACACTGGGACAATACAGCTCCAGGATAGGATGATGATTCCACTGAGGTGATACATCCTGGGTGTTCGTTTGGTTGATTGCTTTTGTTTTTTGGGGGTTTTTTTGGTTTTTTTTTTAAGCCAAGCAACCCAACTGAGCATCTTCACATACTTGTAAAAACACTATGAAAGTTCATAGGGAAAAAAAAAAGAAACAAAATGTACAAACTACAGTGGTTTACAGCTTCTCTCACGAGCTGGTAGAGTTGAAGCAAGTTTGAATTGTGGTCTTGTCCAAATTACAGGGAAGAGTAACTAACCTCTACAGATACAACCTTTGTTAGGAATGAATGCCAGGCATCACAACAATGTGAATTACTGAATCAAGGTAATCACAATTTAATGTGAGTTACTGAATCAAGGTAATTGTGCTATGGAAAACCAAACCCTATAACAGACAGTCAGATGATAACTGCAAAGCATGTGGATGCAATTCTCTCTTTTTACAGCTGAGTTTAGCAGCTTAGCTGCAGTGCATCTATGAGAGCAATATCTATCACAAAATGTATCTATTGAGGCCAACTTTGCCTTTCCTGTTATTTGGAGAAAAGTGCTCTTCAAGATCCCTCCAGCTCCCCAGAGAGCACAACAGGAGATGTTCCTCACTCAGTAAATGTGTCACTGCATATGAGATTCTTCAAACACTTCAAGGGAGCTGTGGCAGATTGCAGCTGATAGAAAATATCCTGTTATCCAAAGATTGTTTCTTTACATATCCTTTGTGGTCTTACTGAAGAAGATTAGAGAAATTAGATGAAGTATGTCATGTTGTTAAGGAATTCTCCCTGTCAGACCATTCCAGAGGCTCCCTGGCACTCCCACTCCCAGATCCAGAGACTCACTGCTGGGACTGAGGTTCCTTCCCAGCAGTGGCTGCACTAACCCAATGGGAGCCCCATTTGACTCCCCACACCCCACTCACACAGTCAGATGAGTTTTCCTTACCAGCTCGACCCCAGGTTTTCCATAACAGAGTCTCAGACCTCTGGTTCCTGTTTAATAATTTCCTCTTGGTGCAAGAGCAGAGTTACAGCTCGAGCTGGTGCCTCCATACTGTGCATGGAACACACTGAAACAGGGAGCTGTCAACCTCCAATGATTTCCTCTCAAACAAAAAAACCCCAGCTCTAAAATATACAGAGCCTTCTGCATACATCTCTATAGGATGGTAAGGCAGGAGGAAAAGAAGAACAGGAAAATGCAGTTCACAGTGAAAGGAACTACCACAGCCTTAACTCACTGCTTCTTCACTCAGGAAAATCTGGTATATTTTTCAAAAGCAACTTCTGTCTAGGAGTTGGGGAAACACTCTGTCAGTGCACCAAAAAAAAAAAAATTAAAAAAAAGCTGGTCACAATTAAGCCTGGAAAGTTTCTTTTTTTCCCCCCATAAGAGGAATACATTTTTGCTTAGAGTGATTAGCAAAAAATTACGATTCTTCTGTTCACTGTTCAGACTTTAAATCTGAACTTTATGAATCTTTAAAATGAATCTTTAAAAAAGCAATCTTTCAGAGTCTTACCTCAGCTGTGGAGACAAAGGAGTCTGTTGATGCAATGCTCAATGTGTCTCGAAGGCAGAAATCATCCGTGTTATCCTTCACAGTAATGTCTGTGTTTTTATCTTTAAAATATAAAAAAAAACCCCAAAACTTTTTTAGATTCCATTTACATCTTGAAAGTGTGCTTCATGTATACTTTAACATAGTACTTCATCTGGAAGGCACGACATTAGAATACTGTGAGAGTAAATTCTCTTTACGACCCACTAACACATAAAAAGGTGACTGCATTTTTCTGCCTTTGAAGTGGACTTTCAAATATCAGCCACAATGACCTGGGAGAAGAAAAAAAAACTTGCCCAGAGGTTTTCCCTTTTTCCTTTATAGGCTTCTGAAGATCTCTCTATCTTATGATATTACTTTGCTATATTGATCTAAACACTGTTAAGGTTTTAACTTGGCTGTGTTATGTGACAAATGCTCAATGTTTCAGTCACCAAGAAATACTGTTATAAATAAAAGTCCCTTAATAAAAAAACACCCCAAATTTTAACTTCACTGGAATTTGTTTCATTTTCTGCTTTTCATGTCTTTTTTCATTTGCTGGTTCTTCAAAAGAGCAAGTGAAGTTTTTCATCTTCACTGCATCCTCTTTCCCCAAAAACTTCTTTTATTGAAACAACACATCCAGAAGCATTTCCTATGGTGCTAGAATTCTTAAAGCCTTTAAAATAACTGACATTTTTTTTTTGCTTAAATTCATCTACAATACAGTTTCTCTCAAGTTTCCTTTATTTTATTCTCAGATTTCAACTGTTGCACTTATTACTATTTTCACCATCCAGAAACACTTTCACAGAAGGATTAAATTGGTAAGTCAGTAAGTCAGACTTTGGCTTGATGTGTCCCACACTACATTCCCAGTGGAGCAGATGCAGTTATTTTGGGTTACTTTACCTTCAGACATTACACATGTGTTGCTAAAAGTCTGTTTTATTTCCAAGAGTCAGCAGCAAAGAGCTACCCAATGTCCTCCAGATCTGTTGCCACGGCAATTCTTCATTAAAAACACTATTACATAGCAAAGTGGCCAAATGCCAATACACTGGAATGGTTTGCTCATCACTTGAAATGCTACAAATCCACATAACTTAACTATTACTTTGGTGGTTGTTACGGTTTTATTAGTTATGGACCTGGGCTGACAGCTCAAAACCTGCATATAACAATAAATACCTGTCTCTGAGACTAATCACTGAGGGGAAAAAATTATTAGAAGTTTGGACAAAGATTTTACTAGATTAAGCTAGGCAAAGTGTAATCACAACTTCACCAATATTCATATGAAGTCTCTGATTTTTTCAGCTCATTCTTACTGGTTCTTTCTTTTGACCTCCTAAAACCAACAGAAAAAGTACTGCAGCATCCAGGTTGGTTGAGAAACAATCACACACTGGGATCTGCAATGCTGGAACAGAAAACCAAACTGTGGTTTGTAAAGCATTAGCCTGAGGTCCGCTCAGAGCAGATGGGGTAACACGGTGTTCCTTATTTCTCATAAATTTGCATTAATTGCCTTCTAATATTACATGAGATGATATTCTAATACCACTTTTTCACATGAGCAGTTGCTGACTCTGCAGTTAACACTGTTAAACCCAGGGTAGCACAGGGATGTAGAGCCTGGAGGCAGATTTTTCCACTCTCCTATTTTCAACCTCTCCCTTTGGCTAAGTTGCTCCCCACACCAAATTTGTAATTAAAACAAAAGTTTCTACATGTCACAGTTATAAAGTCCCTCTAGCACGTGGCTCAAGGGCAATCCAAAGAAATGATTTTCCTGAATCTGCCAGTCTGTAGGGAACACAGAGCACTTCCTTCTGGAGAAGAAAACAGCCCCAGGCACAAGCAGTAACACAAAATGACAAACCCCTACAGGAGTAAAACATGGGCCAGCCCTCCAAAGATCTGACTGGTGGCTCTGATGAAGATGCCAAGGTAAGGACAGCTCTGTGTACACAAAGTGCAGCTGTCAAGTGGTCTCATATATCAACTTATTCACAATCCAAAAACACCTCCAGCACCCCCACAGGGAAGTTCCCAACTGCAGCACAGGCTGAAGACTCAAAGCCTTTGGATATTGTGAGATAATCACTGTGCTCTTGGTGTTACATGTGGGTTTATAACTCAGTGACAAGGACATCTCCCCAGACTGACTCTGGTGTATTTAACTCTGGGCTATGTGTGATTGATTACATATAAATGGGAATAATGCTGTTTAACTCAAATTTATCCTGTGTATATTTCAAAAAAGAATTGGTGTAAATGAAGGAACCACAGCCCAGAACACTGCAGCATCAGGGGTTCTTCTGCAGATCTTGCATTCAGCCTGTTATAGATTACATGAAGCTCAGAGAGAATAAAATTTTGAATACATCTATATTTGTTGAAAAATTCCTAATTCCAAGTGTTCTCTCACTGAGCCAGGATGTTTTTAACATCTCAGTTAGTTCCATATGGAATATCTGTGTTTTCACTCAAAATTCTCACTACTACAGAAAAAGGCACAAAATTTGCATGTTATGACAAAAAAAAGAAAAAAAAAAAGCTTGGCAATGCTGAGTGAAATAATACCTTTGGCAAGCAATATGTGCATACAAAGTAAGCAGAACAGCCTTGCCAGCTATTCCTGGCTTTGTGGCCACCACCACCACCCTAACACCCCAAAATACCCCCAGCCAAGCAGGTGTTTATCAGTGCCCACACTATCATGAAAATTCCCTATGGAATTTCACTAGGGTGCAAATTAAGTTGCAGCTGGAGTACATACCATGGAAGTACCAGGAGACCATTCTTAGACACAAGAACACAAAAAAAGAGGCAGTGGCACAAAGAGACTCCTGGAATGAACAGCTGCAGGAGGAACCCACCCTCCAGTGCCTGCAACTGCTCATACATTCATCCCGAGTTCTTATGGATTCTAATACCCTCAGGAAAGGAATACTGGCAACTATGTGAGCCTCAAATATAGTTGGCTTATTTGAGAAGCCAAGGAGTTATTTTGGGTTCACTTGTATTTGCAAAGAGGACGAAGTAGAGTTTCAGATGTGATGCTGACAGCAGTAATTACCGTCAAGGCTCCTGGTTGTAGTGCCTGAAAATGCACATATGGTTATAAAGTTAGACTAAGGGCATTAAAAAATGGAAAAATAGGGAGGACTGCTAATGCCTGTGAAATTAATCCTAGCTTTACAAGGTTTTGCAAACAACTATCTACTTAAAACTAAACAAGGTAAAAAAACATCAAGCCAGAACCAAGCTATTTTCACATCCCAGTGTGCTAATCTAGAATATTTATCTGTCTTTGCTGTGGTAGGTTTGCATGGTAAGACAGAGCACAAAGGTAATCCTCCAAATTCTCAGAGCAAAATCCGACCTTAGAGATGGAACTGCACAAAAAATTCACTTTTCAGCATTCAGTCAAGAAGCATTCACCTTCACATCATGTTCTGAAACTCTGAAGACTGGTCATGTGTTACCTTCTTGCCAGCCCTGAATGAAACATGGCTCGAGCTCACAGGCGAGTCTGGCGCTTACGTGCAGCATTTAAAAAAGGAAAGCACTTACTCACTGCAAAGAACTCCCTGGGATTTTAGTTCTGAGTGCCACCATTAAATAAAGCTTCAGTGGAAAATCAGTGCAGTCAATACACCACAAGCAGGAAAGCAAGATGAGAAAGGAGGGACTTTACAGACTCCAAAGAGGAGAAAACCTCGCAAAGGAATCCACTTCTGGAAAGTCAGGGCACCCCGAGAGCAGGAGGGGCCCAGTGCTCTGTCAGGCCCCTTCCATGGGTGGCTTCATGCCCAGGGAAAGGAATGACAATACCCAAGTTCAGACAGCACAGAAACACAAATCAACACAGCTCAGTTCCATGGGAATGTGTCACAGTCCTCTAGCAAGGCACAAGTGGCACAGTGGTTTGTCACCCCATTACTGAAACATCCCAAAGCAGCTTTATTCACATTTATAAATAGTTATAATTCTGAGAGTGTTGACTGAATATTCATTAAAATATCATTAGTCCAACCAAGTAGCTACTACAGTAGTACATGAAGTCTTACAGGATGCACCCAGAAAGCAGTGAATTTTCTGTCATGCCATATTTATAAAAAGAAAACAATCCCAACCTTCATATGGCACTTTCTCACGATTGGGTCATGCAGCCACAGGTTAAAACTGGCAAGCCAAGAATGAAGCAGGGTATCCACAAAGACCATTCTGGGTTTAACAGCTACTGTTAAATTATGTGTTTAAATTCCTCAATAACACAAATATCTGGGATCAATAAACTGCCCTATAGCTGGAGGCATCTCACCAGCTGCACATAAGTGAAGATGTTACTGACAGCAGTATGAAAATGTATTTCAGGTCAGGGTCTTTTAAAAATAACCAAATCCTGTACTCTGCCAGTACAGCAGCATGTAGCAGGAGTTAAACATGTCTCAGGGTACTTTGTTGGGACCACTCTGATGCTAACTGAGGTGAGAGATTCCTTCAAAAAACAAACCACTCCTCCTGTGCCCACCAAACCCCGAGAAGATGCTCCAGCCAGGCTGTCAGGGTGTGCTCACACCTCCAGCAGCCCCTGCTGTGAACTCACAGCTTCTTCTCACCAGCCTGTGACTGGGAACAGGTAATCAAAGCAGTCATCTCATGGAAAAACTGGGGAAAATGGAGCCTAGGACAGCACCAGGTCACCAGGATCTGCAATTCCACCTTCCTCCTCCTACTCACAGGCCTTTTCCAAGGTAAGCTGTGGCTGAGCTGAGCCTTCAAATTACATCCTTAACCCAAACCTCAGCAGCTTTCGTGCAGGGAATGATCTTCTGGTTTTGTGTGTACAGAAAGCCAAATCTTACTTCCTTAGAAAAAGTTGACTCAACAGAGCTTTCCTAATTCTTTCCAAGTACAGCTATAGCATTCAAGGTCCACATAAAAGCCTTCCATTTGCAATACACACACACAGATATAAAAAGGTCCATTTTCCAAGCCATTAGATGCTCATCTAATTATCATTATGCACAACAAACACGAGATGTTCTTCATTGACTGTGTTCTG